GATTCTGTGATTCTGTGATTCTATGATCTATAAGCCTTGTAGTTGCCACCTGTTGTCTAACCATCTGCACACATGAATGCAGACATACGGGAACTTTGCACGTAGTTCTCATCAGCAGAACACACCGCACACTTTACTGCTTAGCAAACACACTTGCAGTTCATGTTGTCTGGACTGCGATTTCAGAGAAACTATCCAATATTTCTTTGTTCTTTCCTGCCCCTCCCTCAGTCTCACTCCTTGCGTCACTGCTTCCCGGTAAAGGCTTCCTGCTGCTCTGCACGGAGGAGCTCTGCCAGCTCATCCTGGCTGGCCGTAAGCCTCACCCTGTGTCATGTTAGCTCTCAAGGAACAATCCTTTCCTTCCTGCTGTCCTCTCTCCGTGCTTCTCCAGATCCTCAGCTATCTTTTCTCCTTGCTTCTTCATGATAGGCAAAGAACACTTAGGAAAGGAAGGTGTTTTTGTCCAGATGCTTGCAAAGTCCTGACAGTAACTCCGCTTATAACAAGCAGCCCCTGGAAAGGTCATAGCAGGAAGGCAGGACACAAGGCACTCCTGCACCTCTAATTCCAGGCTGGATACAGTGAGCAGCTCCTGAGAGGAGACCTGCACGAGCCTGCTCTGCCTGGCACCCGCACCAGCCCAGCTCGCGGCCAGCCATAGCATCGAGTCATCTTTCATCCCACCCCACGTCACCGAGCACGTCCCAGCCAGACTCCAGACATTCCCTTAATGTACATGGGGCACCCCACCCTCCCTTACTCAACCTGGTTAGACTTGACTTTTGCTTTTTCGTACCACCTGATTTACACATAGGGTTAAAGACCCGTGGAGCAGTGTCTGTACTTAGCCAGATGTGTGAGATCTTTTACAGAAAGAGCAAAAGCAGGACAAGGGCGTCTGCACTGAAATTTCGCAATGCAGAGACAAAATCCTGGACAGGAATGTTGTTTAGACGAAAACGAAAACCTTCAGGAAACTAATACCTCAGCTCAGCTGCAACCCTAGTCTCTATATCATGCTTAATTAAAGCAAAATTAAAGGTCAGGGTAAAACACTACCAATGTCAGATGGCTGCTGTCTGTTCTTACACCAAATTCCGTAGGGGATTTCACCACTGCCTTCAGCATGTGTTACTGCAGCGGACAACACACACACCCCACAGTTTTCTGAAACCTCAGGCTAAATAATCCTGTTCTTGCATTCTCTCCCTGTCCTCTGTAGGAAAATGTCTTGCTTGGGCTTGTTCTGTGGACTGACCTGCAAAATACTTCTTTCTTTTGTTGGCTTTAAAAGCCATTCTCCAGATTGTTTTCAGGATATTTTCATCCTTAACCATCACTTGGATCATGGCCAGTAAGAAACAGTCATCTCTTAAACTTTACAGCCTGGTACCATCCTCTCCTTCTCTTGCTCTTCCCTATTCTGCTTATCTTGGTGTCACTAAGGAAT